TCTTTATAAAATATCTGATAATACGATGTGCATATGTCTCATGTTCATTTTTTGACCGCTTAATCCATTATTTTTTACTTTTTTATTGGATCTCCGGAGAAGACGCTCGACCTGCCTTACAAAAAATTCACCCAGTTCTTCATCTGTCAATACAAGTAAAATGTTTTTTGCATTATTTAAATCGGACGCATTCGGACGCCTGTTATCTCAAAACCTGAAATACTATTTTTGGCACTTTTTGCCCCGTATCTCCGAAACGGCTAGATCTGCCTTTGCCAGTTTTTGGCGCATCTCCTTATCAGTATGGAGTCCAATGTTTTTTGAATTATTCAAATCGGTTGACCCGTGTTCGCAAAATCGTCGACGAAAATTGGTATCCGCACACACACACACATACATCCATTTTTTCTAAGGTATGCCAAATTGTTCAGAAACCTCTGGAACGTAAAGATATATAAAAAAATTATTTTCGATTTTTTTTGCGACAACTAAACTTACCCTACGGGAAGTTAATAATATTCTAATACTGTATTACAATAAAATCTTTACATTTTTGTTTAAAATTTGTGTTTTCTTATTACTTCAAACATTATGGTTTCAAAAGTTGTTGTGTATATTAAAAATACTTGGGATACGATATTAGGATTTATCTAGAAATGTCGGCCGCTCAATAAAAAGGTACTTGTATTTGGATTTATAATTGCATTTATATTTGTACATACTTACTTAAACTTGTTTTTATATTTGTACTTGAATTTATTTCTATTTCCATATCAACTTCTATTTTTATTTGCATTATTAAGCTGATATATGTAGTGATAATAATATAAATAAATAACAATGAGTAAAGTTATATTACAAAATGAGATGCTTATAAAAAACTAAAAGAAATGTTTTTAAATAATAATGACTGAACAATAATTAAAAACTATGAGTACAATTGTTGTCATAGAAATAATTGCAAAATCAAAAATTTACAATAGCATCCGTTTGCTGTTATATATATATATATATATATATATATATATATATGGTATTTCCGTGGAACAAATATAATTCAGGAAAATCAAAGATCAACCACAAATCAATAATGAGCAATATATTGTTAAACTTTTTTTTTTATTATATATATATTAACATACCATAGATAATTATGATTACCTATTATGATATATTGAAAAATTTGGTTTGTATTAATATCTATTTATTAAATGTATTATTTATTATATAATATAAAGTTCTAATAACATTATGGATTAATAAAACTATTCTTGTTCTCCAGAATAGGATAAATTTTAGTAACAACCAACTCACACACACATTCACACATATATATATATTATAAACATACAATGGTATATATAAGGACGCATTATACATACCATATGCATGTGAAGATTACAAAATTTAACTATAAAATTAAAAAATAACATTTAAAATATGTTTCTCAAAAAATATGTATATCTTAAAATTTCTTCTGAATTAACATATGGTCATCTATCAGATTGCACATTCAAATTTCTTTGTAAATGATTGGGGGCGTCAGCAAAAGTAAATTTCAATCTATATGCTTCAGCAACCAATACACCTATATTACAATCTGTCCAATCTTGTGTTGGCAAATTCTGAAGTAAAATCATCAAACCCTGCGAAAGTAATTAAAATATACATAGTGATAAAGTTATCGCAATTTACAAAGACATGCAAATAGCATACTTGAAAATCTTTTTTCGTGCAATATTTGTTCTCTCCATTGTAATAAAAATGCTGCACAAACGTATAACTGAAATGAAGCAAATCCATCTGATTCAGCAAGATATGTATCCCATAACCGTATTGTGCAATGTAAAGGAAGTTCTCGAGTAAGCAAATTGTTCATCCAACGAAAAGAAAATTGCAGGTAGTCGACACCATGCATTTGTAAATGTTTGTGCAGAGGCTCTAAGTTTATTGAAAAAAATAAAATGTTATAAATGGATCCTGTATTATAATATTTGAGAGTTACTAAGTTACCATCCACTCTTTGAATGAGGTCTTTCAATTGATTAACCTTTGTCTGTATTCCTAATTGTGCAAATATATAGTTATCTTGTATGCAATCAAGAAATTTTGATAAACACCAGAACGAATCAGCTTCAATTATGTCTCTATGCTCCTTTGATAAATTTTCTATATTAAAATTTTCTACAACAGTACCTACAATGAAATGATTATTATAATACATGACTAAAACTGAAAAACAATCATTCATATGCAACCTATAGACAACGCTTCTTGTAGAAAAACCATGAAAAAAGGTGTAACTAGATCATTGATTCCTTGCACATAACCAGAAGCGGGATGCCTGATTGCCCAAATAAAAAGAATTCTCTCAAACATTTCTTGAACAGTTGACTGTTGAAATAGTGCTATCATTGGATTCATGCGAGGAACATCAATATGAATCTGCAATTACATCAAAAATAATTATGAATCATCAAAAATACATTTACCAGCAATAATTTGCAAATAATACAAAAACCCACCGTCGATATGTATCTTGATAAGCTTCATCTCTTTCTGTATCATAATATTGCTGAACTAAGTTCCAGTAATCCAATCTCTTTCGTTCTAATACTGCTTGCCTACGTTCTAAACTAGCTGGCAAATACCCCGAAAGTAAACGCCATGTGATAGCTCTGACCTAATAAAATATGAAATTAAGAGTTTGTTATCACTTATAAAACTACTTGCAATTATTTACCTTTGCTGGTATGCCTGACCAACCCAGTTGCCTCAATTCTGACAAATTCAATAAATTTGAATCAAGTAGAGGCGTAAATTTATTTAGTTTTGATTGACACGTTTGGTCTTTTGAAGTAAATACTGAACATCGAAATGGTTGTGGCCTCCCTGGGTAAGCCTGATTTGTTTTTTTCAATATTTTATCAATAGTAGAACTGCAAATTTGGAACTCTTAGTTGAAAACAACATCAAAATATTGTAAACACAACTAAACAAAAATGTAGCTTTTTAAAAAATAAATACATCAAAAAATCTATGCATGAAATGTAACTTACGTGTTAGGTGGGTTTGTTGAAGATTCACATGAATCACTTAATTTTGTGGTACATTTATCTTGTATGGCTGTTTCATGAACAATACTGGCAGAGATTTGAGCATTGGAAGGTATCAAAGATTTCTTATGTGTTCTAATAACATTTAAAGCTGCGTTATGTGAGACTCTTTTTGATATTTTGGTATCTGAAATTTAAAGCACTTCAATTGCAACCACTTGCATAAAACCAAATGTTTTTAAAACTTAATATGAACGCAGTCGTTGTACCTGGAATTATAGAAAGATCATCATCATCTTCCAAATCCCAAGCGTCGCTGACCGACTCTTGGAAATCCTGGAATGATGTGGAGCCTGACAATCGAACTCTGTTTGATTCTGATCGTTGTGGATCTTTTTGACTAGGTCGACCAGGCACAACATGATTATTTTTTTTCCAGAAGGTAGTTTTAGAATTGCTTTCAAAACTTGGTATATTTGATGAAGCATTCATATTAAATTACGCTATGTAATACATAGTTTATTCAAGACGAAAATAGAAAATAATCAAATGGACATCGGCATGAAACATGAGATTTACAAAATTTGTAATAATTGTTTACGTTTTGGAATTTTAAAACAAATTTTAACAAATCTTCATAACATTGCATGATTGAGTTTTGATGACTGTATGACATTTGTCACCTAAACCCGCTTGCGCATGGTTGAAAACATTCCATAAACCATAAAGTTATTTTCGAGCGGATTGCAGCTTTACATTCTCTTGCCGTAAAGCCACTTGCCTATAGTATTTCTTTAAAATTTAGAAGGATCAAAGGAATATTTCAATATATTTCATTCAAATTTCAATTCAATTCCATTGACATATATATGAGAAAATAAACATGGTGGGGTATTGTCTATTTTGTAATTAGATTTTCGAGACTCGCTAAAGATATAAAAGCCTATTGTTTTAATTGCTTTGCTAATAATTGGCAAATTTATATAAATTCATAAGTAATGTCTATTTTTACACTTGAAAATAATAATTAAAAAAATAATTTAACAGTAATGCGAAATTTAATAAGATTCTTAAATTATTCGCGCTAGGTGAAATGCGTTTGATATAGAAAATATCAAATAATTAAACATCGTACTTATTAATATGAGGTAAATAGAGATGTGAGATAAATCAATGCAATTTTTTGTATAAGTTTTAACAAATACTTGTTATTTGTAACAGGGTGTATAGCATATACTCTTCTTTTATCTATGGTGTATAGCCCGCCCGAGCCCGCCATTTCTACTTTATCATCTATGGATTTACTATATTTTTTATCTTTGCTTGTAAGGTGCACATCTATATATCTGAATTGTTGTTGTCTGTGGTGGCGTCTGTTCAACGTACGGTTCGTTCGTTTCAGATATCGCGCGAAAGCTGTTGAGAGTGTTTGTTTCTGGCGCATTTTAGTAATTGCTCGTGAAGAGAAGAAGTGTTCGAAGTTTTAATTTTTTTCAGACTGATAATATATTTTAACTATGTTTCAAATAGGAGATAAAATCGAAGCTAGAATGCCGGGGTCTAGGCTGTATTCTCAAGGTATGTTGTGGTGAAATTATCTCAGAAATTTAGTATACATATTTATAATCGTGACTTCTTATTAGCTGAGGTATTAGAGACAAAAGGGACCTCATGTCTCATTAAATTTGGTGACGGCGCTGTACATCAAGTACAAGAAATTTACATTCGACCTGTAACTAAAACTGTAACGTAAGTAAACGTTTAACTAATAAATTCAATTTTATTTTGAATTGTGCGTGTATAATTGTAGTTCTAAATTTTTGCAGGCGATCCCGCCGAAACAGTAGATCTCCAGCACGTAGAAAACCTACTGAAGTGATTGTTTCAGATCTTTCAGAAGATGTTGTGAAGACAAATCAAAAGTGAGCAAATACATATAAACAATTCTGTTAACTTGTTCTGTAGGCACATTTCAGAGAATAAGCACATCCAAATTTTATTTTTCGAACTTGAAGTGAATTAATATAATTTTGTAACATGTGTGCTAAATTTTGTTTATCGTATTTGTGCAGATCATTAGATGAAGCCCTTGTGGGAGTAAAGCCGGAAATTAAAAAGCGAATTGGAAGAAGTCCTGGTAGACCGTAAGTTTTTGATTTCATATAATTATTTATGTAAACTCTTATCCAAAATAAAAATTTTAGCTCAACTGCTAAAAGTACTACCAAAATGAATACTCGAAGCAAGAGTAGAGGTCGTGTTATACGTTTAGACAGGTAAGACTTGCATCAATACTGCTTTTAAGTACGTAACAAATTTTCAACTGTAATAAATTTAAAGTGGTCATGATGAATCGGAAGCACAGCAACCAAAGAAAGTGGTACGTCGCTCAAGTGTAAATCGTTCAACAAAATTGATGTAAGTATATCATAATAAATTCTAATGTAAATTTAATTTACCAGATTCATTAAAGGCATTATTTTATAGGAACAATGCACAAAATCTATGGTCTGAACAACACAGTAGTGCATCTGTAGTCCTTCGTGATATTCTCCATTCATCCAGATCCAATAGTCGTCAAAGTTCATGTACGAACTCCGAACTTGAGATGATTGATCAAAATATTGCAGAACGTGAGTCTCCTGTTTTAACAGAAGAGGATTTCAGACGTTCTGACATAGAAGATACAGTTTCAGAAGTGTACATGATTCAACCGCGAAACATGTTACGTGTTACAAACAGGTAATATGATAGTGTAAATTATTTTGGGTGCTTTGTATTATAATGTTGTCTATGCAGGTCCACCAGACAAAAGTCGGCAACACCGGATGAACAAAATGTCGAACCAATAATTCATGAAAAAGAAGCAACACCTTTGAATCCATTGAATACAGAAATTTCCGATTCTGATGAAGAGGTTAAAAATGTACATAACAAAGACCATTTCATCGTAATAAAAATGATTAAGTTTCTTCTTACAGCTTTTTTGATTTCGGGCACGCCTTTAATTTGCATGTACCTTTATAATACATGTAATATAGACAAGTGCGTTTTTCGGTATCCCCAAGTAACTGATCTAAATAATCTTGAACTTTATTTTTCAAAGCAAGCCTCCATGATGAACATTGCCTTTCTTTCATTTTTAACAGTTTTTTCTATTATTCGCATATTCGGAACTAGCGCCTTTGGTTTTCCCACTAGGGATGGTGTTTTAAATTACTACTTCAATGGTTTTTTTAGTATAATTATCATCACAGTTATTTTTACTTTGTTACACCGGTATAATTTTCCTATTTTGCAATACATTCATGAACAAGATTTCAGATTGATAATTTCCTCACTGATATGTGCATTTTTAATTTCGCTTATTTTACATCTGAGGAAGTACTATGTTTCTATGGTACCATCAATTATGGAACCAAAAAGGAATACAATTTCAGAATTTTGGAATGGATGCGAATTGAATCCTCGCATTTTTTCTATTTTTGATGTCAAGCTGATTTATTATAGAATGGCAATTATGGGAACGGTGAGTCATCAATAGAATTTGAATTAATTATAATAACATATCTATCATTGTTTGTATTTTTTATTTTTAGATTTTATTGCTGACAGCCTATGTACATGAAGACGCTTGGAACCTTATAAGAAATGTGTTATATGGTGAAGCCACTGATTACAATTCTACCCTAATTCTTGTAACTGCTCTGAATATTTTTTTTCATTTGGATTTGGTGTTTCATGAGAAACAACTGACTGCCACTTTTGAAATTCAGAATGAGGGTACTGGATTCATGTTATTACTGAAGGACAATCTTTATCCATTTGTCACAGCTTTTCCTGTGAAATATATACTATATCGAAACATAAGAGCACCCTCTATAGCATTAGCATTTATCGTAGGCATGTTTTTTGTTGGTTATTTGCTGTTTCGATATAGTAATAACATGAAATATGCTGTTCGAATTAACCCAGCTGATTACAGAATTAATTGTATGTATTAAATTTTGTAACCGGTTTTATTCTGTTTGTAATTATATTATAATCTTTTTTTTTATTGCAGATAAAGATTTATATATAACTTTTTCTGGTAAGAAGCTGCTTCTTGCTAAGACATGGGGTTTTGTTAGGCATCCTAACTATTTGGGACACATCATGGTTTTAGTTTCATTTAGTTTGGCCTTACTCTGGAGTGCACCTTTCAATGTAATAAGCTTTTTGCCACTAATTATTAGTGTAATATTTCTACTACACCGAGCTGCACGAGATGGTCGCCAGTGTGAGAAAAAACACGGTGCCAGTTGGACGAGGTACTGTAATGTGGTAAAATATAAGATAGTACCACATATATATTAGTAAATTGAAGTGAAAGATAAAAACTCTTATATTTAACTGGGATTTTAGTGAGTTTGAGTGCTGATATTTTGATGAGCTGGAAACATGACTATTTTTATTTTATGTACATTAACTATACTTGTATTTTTTGTGATTTTACATTTACTTATTTTTATCTTACATCAATGTTTAATTAACAAAGATTTTAAATCTTGTGATAGTTTAAATATTTTTTTATTAGGAATTTTATATTAAGATTGCATTTTTTTAATTCTGATAATCATGTAATTAACAATTTTGTACTTCATAATAATTTATGCGTACTCAGGGTATGCAATATATTATTTTTTTCCTTTGTATATTAAAATAAGAAATATGTTTGTGTAAAGATCTCTGAACTATTGGACTGATCTTGCAATATTATATAATATGAATTAACTGATTGATTAAATTGTCTCGATATATTACTAAATTGATTGATATAATATTAAATTGATTTTAATATAATATTAAATTAATTTCAATATTTAAAAATAATTAAATAATAATACTAATTAGCACAGCTATTTTCTTATCCAAAATTAAATGATGAATTCATTATTAATAGTGATTTGTATATGTAATACTATTGATTTTAATATAATATTAAATTAATTTCAATATAATATTTAAAAAGAATGAAATAAAATTTAGTAATCATGTAAATATATGTTCAAGATATTATCTCAATGAAATGATAAATTAATTATTAATAGTAATATGTGGACTTGTCAAAGCCATAACAGTCCCATAATAGAGTATAAGATATATAAATATATATTTTCGTATAGATTATAAAAGATTTTTTATATGCAAATTTGTTACATTGTATATTAAGTACTATAGTAATAAATAAATATATTTAGTCAAGCCAGAGTCTTTATTAATGCTGCAAATGTACAATAAGAAATTAAGTATTTTCGTATGATAATTTACTGTGTAGGCATTGTAGTTCAGTAGCTGTTTTATGTTGAATGATATTTTTTGTGTTGTTAAAATATTATGAAAATCAATGCTGATTTAAAGTATGATATTGAGAAACTAAGGCTTTAAGGATCATTATATAATAATACAACGTCGGATGTTTATAATGAAACTTTGCAACTCGTTCATGGTCTTAATCTTATCCTAAAATATATAGCCTTGCAAAAAGTGGATAAGTGTGCTTATGACTTATAGCATGTATAATATCAATTGGAACGGACATTAATTGATTAGTTTTAATAAAATGCGTAATCTTTATTATTTTCATGTAAACAGTTGAAGATTTGATCGTCGCCATTTTAAATGTTGTTAAGCCTCCATTCTTATCAATTAAGGATTTTCTATACATCTAGAAATTTGTGCAACTTGTCTTAAGACAAAAATGACACATTCAGTTTTTCTAACATTTGTAGTTATAACAGGATGAAAAGAAAGTAATAAATTACAGTTTACGAAACTAAAAGTCAACCCGCATTCCTCGGTGTGTCAAATATCACGTTTATTAACCCGCAGTACGAGTTTGTAATCTGTAATGACCAACAGGATATAACCGAGTTTACGCAAAACACAGAAACGAATTGTATTAAAAAAGCAGTACATTATTTTTGTAAAAAGTGCGATCATAATTAACCAGTGAATTTGAAATATCGGATTTGATTTACGCTTCACAATAATATGTTAATTAGTCAGATGCATGCAACTGCGCATAAACTAAACTTAAGTGATAAATTATGTTTATTTGTGCAATGACAGTTAAATATGAAGTGATAAATAGTAGTGATAAGTTAGATTATATCTATAAAAAGTATTTAAAAAATAATAATAAGTTAATGCAACTGCCAGGGTATGATTAAAATCTTTGACGGGAGATTTATTCAGGTATTGTCATAAATTTCATTACCTTATATAAAAATAAAAATAAAAAGTGGATATAATAATTTTTCTTTGCTTTAATCATTGATTTAAACTTATCTTAAATATAATTCAGGTTGGTATCAATGATGGTATAATAACCAAGTTCAATTTTATAATCTTACAATTAGAAATTTCTTAACGTCAGTTGGCAAAAAATAACTTATTTTTACTTTATATTTACTTAGAAGTTTATATTTTGCCAGAAAATTTGTTTGGCTAATTTTATGTTTTCTCGACGTTTCAAGTCATTCTGAATAATTAGGGACCAAATTTAGAAAAATTATTTGTGTGTATGTGAGCCAAAATTTGTTGTCATATTTTTCAAAATGGCTGCACCGTTTACGTAAATTTAAAAGCCATTTTGACAAAACTTGAGAATTATCGTTGATTTTCGAGTCGTTTGTAGAAAAGTGTATAATTTTTCATCAACGATATCGCAAAAATCGTGAACCCATTTTGAAATTATCAACACCCTTCGAAAGATCAGTTGGGAATTGTGCTAAAGGTAAAGATTCTTTATTCTTATTTATCTATGGTTGCTTTGTAGTTGACCGATTAATTATTTGTTAATTTTTTGTAGCGTATTTAATAAATCTTGGTCATTTTCCTAACTAAAATCCTAAAATATTACAGCCTGCGATAGGTGGTTGTATTTATTATAAAATATCATCAATGTTCAGAATAAATTATTTGCGCGCTAAAAATCTATGCCGCGCATATTTCGCGCTAAAAATTTTGGATGTGTATATTCCGCTGTGTGTGTTATGTTCCTGTGATTATCGTTTACGTTCGGATTTAAATAAAATAAGTAGAATAAAACGTATTAAATATATTAAATTGAATTAATACTGTTACAGATATTATAATTTTGTTTGCTTCTGCTTAATAAAATATTGCGTTGAACAGTTTTTAGCAATTAGAAACTTCTTCTTTCAACGTATTTAAAATGTAAACCCAACAGCGGATCTATCGATGTTATTTTATTATTAGAATTTATCTAATAGGGCTGAAATAGATAATCAAATAATTTGATTTGATATAATTAGCAATATGTTTACAAGCTGCAAAATAAGAAACAAACTAAGAACGGTAGTGCCTTAAAGTGGTGCTTTAAGGCAAATTGCTTGTACTATTATACTTTCCGTACCTTAATTTAATTTTTTTTTAACTTTGAAAAAATTAGATTTTTAAGAATCTGGATTTTTTGTTAAATATCGACTTTTTGGAAAACTTTGAATTTGAAACCTATTGAAGTCAGTCAAAAACATTTGTTTAAACTATATAATAAGTAAACTTTAACAATTAAAAATCTTTGGGTTCAGAACCCAAAAAAATGAAAATTTGTGCTTATTATTAAAATTTATATAAAATATATGATAATTAATTATAATGATAATGATAATTAATACAGTTACTGATTTTATAATTAACTTCCCGGTGGGCATAGATAAACAAGAATAAATCAAAATCAAAAATGAAAAATTTTATTTTTACGTTTCAGAGATTTCTGAACATTTTAGCATACCTTAGAAAAAATGAATGTATGTGTATGTGATCGGATACAAATTTTCGTCGGCGATTTAGGGAATACGGATCAACCGATTTGAGTGATTTACAAATCATTCTATTAATAAAAGCATTTCGGAGATACGGGGCAAAAAATTCCAAAAATGGTAATTCAGTTTTTGAGAGAACGGAGCGTCCAATTTCAATAATTCAAAAAACATTTTACTTGTATTGACAAAATTAAGAAATGAATTTTTTTTTTGGAATGCAGGTCTAGCGGTTTCGGAAATCGAGTAAAAAAAGTAAAAAAAATCCATTTGGGGGTCAAAAATAATCATTAGACATATGCACATCAAATTATCAGATATTTAATAGAGATTTTATTATTTAAATTAAATTTTAAAAAAATTGTTATTTATTATTTGTTTTGTAAAATTTTGTTCACATTTTTATGGGTTTCGTACCAATGTTTATACGTAAGACCGCGGCGCGGCGCTTACGCGCTTGGATATTTCTTGTCTAGAACAGGTACGCAGCACGATTGCTTTGAAAAAAGTTAAACATTTTCAAAACATTTTAACATATAATTTTTTTTTTTAAATCAGAATTTTCAAGTCGTTATTTTCAAAATTATAAAAAATATCATTTCGTCAGTTTTCAAAAGAATTAAGGCCTTTTTAAAAAATTAATTAAGTCTTTAAATTAAATTAATTAATTAAAGCTTTTTTAAAAAAAAATAATTTTTGATACGCAATTCTATCAGGGGAGTTCTAGCAATGCACCACTAGTTAACTTCCCGTAGGGTAAGTTGTAGTAATAGCAAAAAATCGAAAATAAAAATTTTTATATATCTTTACGTTTCAGAGGTTTCTGAACATTTTGGCATACCTTAGAAAACATGGATGTATGTGTGTGTGTGTGCGGATTTTTCGTCGACGATTTCGGGAACACGGTTCAACCGATTTCGATTATTCAAAAAACATTCGATTGCTGATAAGGAGACGTGCTGATTAGTTTTTGGCGAAGGCAGGTCTAGCCGTTCCGAAGATATGGGGCAAAAAGTGCCAAAAACGGTAACTCAGTTTTTAAGAGAACGGAGCGTCCGATTTTAATAATTCAAAAACATTTTACTTGTATTAAGGGGGTTGTTCTTTTTTTGTTACAAAAAATGCAAGGTATTTGTTTTTGTTTTTCTCGAAATGTATTTATCATAGAGACATGCGGTTTTTTTTAAACAAAAATTACAAAATCATAGAATATTTATATTTTTTTTGTCGCCGTCATTTGTTAACCAGGGGGCGCCCATTGCAAAATCGATCTCTTTTGCGGTGCCACAGATAAATCCGTCGCGCATCGCCTGAAACAAAAAAAAACGAAACTACGTTGAAGAAGAAGTTTGAATCCAGTCCCCCTACCAAAATAAAAGAAAAAAAGCAAGAAGAAAAAAATGGCAGCTATTTAAAAAAAAGTGCCAAAAAGGGCCTTTTTTAAGACGAGAAGCTTCGCAAATATTTTTTGCGTAATGTTATGAAGTTGTTTGAGGTAGGGGGACTAGGTATTGCAGTGGTGTAATACTACAAATGCAAGTCGATCCGACTTGTAGTTTTTTTTTAATCTGTGGCACCGCATTGAAAAAAGTCAATTTGAGAAAAACGTAT